GGGGGGGGGGGGGGGGGGTTAAAAATGAACGTTGAAAGCTACCCAAGCAAGACATATGGTCAACCTCTTCTTCAAACTGATTCAAAGTTTAAATAACACAATTTTCATTAAGGATACTAAATTCCACTTTAATTTAACCATGTCTTTCACAGCCTGGCAATACTGTCGTCTCCTTTCTTTCACAGATAACTGAAAATAAACAATACCGGATTATTTTTAGACTTAAATATAGAGTTTTGCGCGCTGTGATTGGACGAGCGACCAGTGATTATGGGATGATAGCAGTGATTATTAATGAGGTTTCCCAAAGTTTGTAATACTAAATTTAATTATGAATTTCGACTTTTCTCTGACATTCAAACCTTAAATCATATTAAAACAAACATTCACCTCAGGATTAATGAATACGGTGAATATTTACCTTGCAGCTGGAAGACTCCCTGCTAAGTAAATATTCCCCAATAATCACTTCAGCTTATAAATATAAGGAGTAGGAGTAAGTTTGTTGTGAAATGTGATCGTAGGAATACTAATAGTTTAGTAATAAAGTAGTAATAAAGTAGGAATAGTTTTTGCTTCTAAAGAAAATAAACAAACTACATGTAATAAGGAAAAGAAAAAAAAAGAAGTAAAAGGAGTGGAAGTAAAAAAATAGTTTTCTCATTTTCTTTATTCTGAAACCTTATTCTCAAGAAATGACATGTTGTCTGAAATGGGAAAGCATTAGGCCAAAATTAAAGAGAATGACGTTGTCTGAAATGGGAAAACATTAGGCCAAAACTAAAGAGCTTCATAGATATGCAAATCTGTGCAAAAAATGTGTTTGTAAAGAAATAAGTGATGGTGATGAGTCATCTTTTAGCTAAATAATAATGCAGAATAAGAACCTGTTATGACATTATTTTCACTCTGAAAATATGGATAATGTAGAGCAATAATTCAGCTAATTTATAAAACATATCATAAAGATACTTACCACACTATCTTCAGGCTCCAAGGGAAGAAGAAACCTTTGTAAACATATGCTCACTCTAATAAAGGAATAATTAATACAAATCAGAAAAACATAAAACAAACAGTACCCTTAATCTGACTAAAGGATCATAGTATAATTCCCAGTAGTTACACCATAAAATCAATATTTCCTAAACCTTAGTTTGAATAAGAGAATAAGGAACTAATTGGTAAAAAAATCCTTGGTGAGAAACTAGCTAGAAACGAAGACATTTTTGGTGAAAATTTGTTTGTAACTTAGCAACAGAAGTTGCACAGTGGTTTTGTGTCATGAATCCACACATTTTCCACAGGAAGCCTAATTTAGATATGAGTGAAAAGGGAGAATAAAATTAGGAAAAAATCGACTTTCATTAGCTAAACATGCTGTTCGCCATAAGACAAATGAGTAAAAAAATTAATCAAAAATGCAGTAGGATTATAATTTTTGTATAAACCTGTGTTGTCCTATATAATTACCTATGGTATCTAATGCAGAAATCTAAAAAAAATTGGTATTTATTTATCTTAATAGACCCTTTTATAACTAACAAAAAAAAACAACCTTTAAACCTTTTAGGAAATGCTTTCCCCCCTTAAGATGCACTTTTAGATCTCAAGATACTAAGTATTTCCCACCCAGACAGGTTAAGAATTTCTTTATAATCACAAAGGGCTCTTGTAAAATAACTGAGCTGAGTTCTAATGCATTTGATATAATTGAGAGTATCTAAATTGTTCACGTCTGTAATTAAGAAGCTAAAATTAATTTGGCCAGTGCATGATCATGGCCGGCAACTGTCCCAATGTTATTTTAAGCCCTGGTCAACGAACAGTCAAGGTAGAGAAGTGGCTTTACCTTTTTGTATCGTTGCCCTGGATACTGAGCACTTCTGGTGTTTGCCGAGAGAGAACAGCTGTATCAATATCTGGGTAAACAAAAGAATATGTTGCTCAGTGAAATTCAATATATTTTTCTACGTTGTTTGCAGAGATAGACATGGATCTTAACGAAGGTTTGCCTTTTCTGAAGACAGTTTTAGTCTTAGTCTATTCACTCACAAAGATCTAGTTTCAGTTTTATCATGTGTTTTTGAGGAAGATTATGCAGACAGTTGTCTTAGTGTAATCTCTCACTAGTAAGATCTTTCAGTTTTATCATCATCTTCCAGTTGAGAACAAAGACGAGAGGAAATAGACCTCACAGTTTTTCGTGAGTAGTAGGTCATTTCAAGTGATTCTGACAACTGTACAAGAATAAAATCTGGTTCTACTTGAAATCAATTTGAAAAAATGGAGGGGTTCTCCATAATTTTAAAATAACAAAGGACCACTTGTTTCCTAATGGTTGTGGGGTAATAGGAAAGCAAAAGAAGGCACCTTACTCTTAACAGCTGTACAATGTTGTAAAATATCATGATTCATAATTACTTAGTATAATTATGATAAATATGTCGCTCTGATAATATATGCAACAGTCATGTTTTCATATGTGCTTTTTACAAAACTTGCAAATTAAACATAACTTGTAAACAGAGGTATATGAAGGGAACCTTTAAATAAAGAAAACTGAAACAGCTGAAATCGTATATTGTAGAATATTGCAGGTGAAACTGCCATGACTTACTTACAAAATTGCTGGTGAATTGACTTGCAGGAAAAACTACAGTCTGAGTTACCGTTGTGACCCTCAACATCCCCCCCTCCCCCCTCAAATCTAAGTATTCCTTACACGGGGCTAAGAATAATGGCTGGTAGTTTAAGCTTAGTCATACATCATATCTGGCTCAACGTTACTAGGTCAAATGATCAGTAAGGTAAAGAATTGACCTGACAAGTCCCAATTTCAGCTGGACCTTGTCGATGACTGACCATTATTCTTAGCCAAGCTTACACAATCCCTTCTCTTTCTCCATAAATTTTACTGTTTTCCAATACCTTTGGTTATAAGAGCTGTTTCTGGCTGAACAGAGTATTCTAGTTCCATGTCATTAGAAGTTTTATTGTCGGCATCAAACAACAATAAGCAATGGTGGTCTTCACTGTTAGGGAAAACAAGGGCAATAAATCAAAATTAATGAAGAATTTGGGGTATAAATGTATAACCAATTAGGAAGTGAAAATTCAATTTGAGGCAAAAACACCTGAGAAGGCAATGTTTTTCTGAATACATTAAAGCGTAACACTAAAAAATATGACCAGATTTAATGTATTTTGCTTACTTCTATCACTCAAAAGAGGGCCTAGGAGGTATGTCTACATAATCATTCTATTTATAGTGTTTGTATGTGTGTGCAGTGTTGGGAATGGGTGGGAGGAGGGGAGGAGGTATGTCTATGGAATCATTCTATTCATAGTGTTTGTATGTGCGTAGACCTGTGGAATAGACTGTGTTGAGTGTGCTCCTCTGTCATCAAGGCGACCTGGGTTTGATTCCCAGACGTGGCATTGTATGTTAGTAGAGTAGGTTGTCAGTTCCCTCCTGTGCTGCAACGGTTTTTCTCCAGGCTCTCCTATTTTTCCTACCTCCTGCAAAAATCAATTATTTCTAAATTCCAATTGTAATCCAGTTGAAGAAGGGCCACTCTGTGAAACCACAGTTAGTAAATTAACCTTTATTTAATTAATTTATTTTCATGCTTAAACTGAAGATTGAGGGTCGTTTAGTACAAATCAAACTCACCTTGGTATTGCTCTAAGCTCAAATTTGTGACAGTGAAGACTTGGTACAACAGACACATCAATCGTCATGGACACCCTGCGATAAAGATGTTGCTTGTCTAGTTCACCAAGGTAACGAAACTGGATAATACCGTTAAGGCCCCAGGGAGCCTCTGGGTCATAGTTTAGGTTATCAGAGCTCCCAATGCCTGATGGGACATGGTGGATACCAGTGATCTGGACTGAAATGTCAGCAGAGCTTCCAGGAAGGAGTGGTAGACAGGAATTGATCTCTTTCTCATCGAAGAAGAAGATGTCCCTGGCACCTGAGGAAAAATTAAGCATGCCAAGTTAATATTAATTAAATTTTTTTTCTATTTTAGACCATGTGTCATTTCTTTGAGAGAATGATAATTATTTGATTCATATAAATGTGACGTTACTGGGCAGCATACCAAACTGTAATGCTTGAGGAATGACATATCCATAGGGGGCAGCACTTATCTTTCATGGCTATCATATTAATTACCGCTGTACATAATATATTAAGTAAGCTTGAACCAGTCAGATACGCATGCTGCAATGCACAAGCTGTGCTTTAGTTGCTTGACGGCCACGCGCGAGGGGAAAAAACGAGCATGCTCTGCCTTAGACCTAACGGTTCTCCGTTCCAGTTGCTTGGCATAATATGTTTGAGGAAGTCTCTAAAAAAATTTTTTAAATGTAAGTACCTTGATTAAGCCTAGTGGCCAATAATTATGAATGGAATTTAATGTAACTGTGATTGCATACCTTCGCCCAAGTTAATCACAATAGATCCTATGCCTCTGCCACCAACATTTTCTAGTGTGATTGTCCCTTTTTTGCTGAGAGAAGAAAAGAAAAGAAAGGCACTGTAAGTATTGATTCATACATAGAAATCTGTTATCAATGTACAAAGAGTTTCAATGGAAATATATAACATATATTCAATCGAAATATATATTTAATTCCATTGAAGTTTATCGTAAATAGATAACAGATTTTTATGTACCAATACCATTATTGATGCAAAAAGACAAGACCTTGAAAACTACACCCCCCTTCCAAAAAAATGAACAACTATCCATTCACTTTCCTCATCCATCAAAAAAGAGAAGAAACTTCTCTGATAATGGCAACTGTTCACTTCCATAATCCATGTACATTACCTCTGTCCAGCATAGAGAGTAACAGCAGTGACAAGAGGGGCAGACTGAGGAATGTCTAAGTCAGTGGGTGCTGACCGCACCTTGGGTAGTGAGGCACTGACTTGAAGGAGTGGCATATATGGTACTACATCTACCACCACAGGAAAGTCATCCTTAATTTGCATGTTGTCCTTGGTAAGAGTACATGTACTTTCTGTCCCCAAGACACTCACTGTATAACCTTGGAGGGATTCGAATAGAAAGAAAACTTAGAAAAGATAGTAATGATAAAAAGGTAAGTACTAAATAGTAACGCTTCCTCTTTTACTCCGATGAAGGCCTAGCATCCGAAACGTCAGTAAGTTTTTTCATCTTTTCACGGTGTAAAATTTACCTTTTTATCATTACTGTTTCATTAGAAACACCAACGCAGCTCACACTAGTTTTTAGCTAGTTATATCTTCTTAGAAAAGATGGGGGGGGGGGGTTCATTTGAGAGGTTGAGGGGGATTTGTTGGAGGTTGGAAGGGTTGGGGTTGGATGTTGCAATGCCATATGGGCTGTTAACAGTAGCGCTTTTGCATGATCACAGAAAATAGAACTTAGAGACATTGATTGTCATGACTTCGCTGAGGACAATCAGAAAACACAGATCAAAACTGACAAAATAATCGACTCTAGTCACAGGATGGTAGGTTTGAGCCCACGGCCACTTTAGTGAGATGCAGCGGACTAATTTTAATATGATTTTATTTTTAGCTATTTTGAACCATTTCTTGTGACATTTATGTCTTATGTCTTCATCCTTCAGCATGGTAAAATTAAATTTGATAATGAAAAATTCCCCCCAAAAATTCCCTTAAAGGAGATCGAAACAAGCTTGTCAATGACTTCAGTCTGGTTTAAATTTTGTTACTGAGACAAAAGTCTGAGGTGATGGCAGCTTTTTTTAATCAAACTGATTTTTTCCCCTATAAGCCATTCCAAGGTTGAGCAAAAAGCTGAGTCGATTTGTCAATACAGTGAATTTTAGGCTAATAGGGCCATTACACTAGTTATTATATGACACACTCATTTTCCCTATATTATTACGACCTTTTTTCATGTGTAATTACAGAGCACAAATATACACAGTCTGTGAACCAGTTTGAAAGTTTTTTTTTGACGATGTCAGGGCAAAGAAATGTTTTCTTTTATTCCTTTGTGCGTCTCACGTCAGTGGTTTGAGATTGCTTGTTTACAATAAAAATGGTTGTTTCTCTTGCACTGTTTCTCAGTGTTTTCGTGTCATACAATAACAAGTTATTACACTGCTATTTAAGTATTACAGTCGGATAATTTTACTTTTAAAGCTGTATTTTTCTCACCCCTATAGGACTAAAACAATATGGCCACATTCACTAGTAAAATTATCCGGCTGTTATACACAACTAACAGTATATGTACATGATTCAAAATACCTGTTATCCTTAAAGTCCCTTTGCTGTGTGGAATTCCAAGTAACATCACGGAATGAGGACCAGTTTTTGGTGGAAGCGAAAGGCAGGCAGGAAAAGGCTCAAAATCTACTCCTTCTATGTTTAATACCTGAATCAAAAACATGGATATATCCCATTCAGAATAACCACTGCGTTAATCTGTCTTGTCAGTAATGAATGAACCAACTGAATACATATGATTTAATACAGAATAGGCCTCTTTAGTTTGGGTGTAATGTTTKCCCATTTCAGATCATGCATCATTCCCTTGAGTATCATTTCTTTGTTTGGGTGCAAATGAAACAAAGGTCTTAAATGGTCTAAAGTGGGCGAAACAAATGCCCTAGCTAAAGGGATCTATTTGTTTCTTTCAGTCTTAGTCAAAGTATATTTTTAAGGGGGAGGAAGGAAGGAAGGAAGGGGGAAGGGGAATTCATCCGTCTTACCATTTTTGTAACTTTAAGTTCAAATGGCATAGTGTTGTAGATCTCCATGGATACCTGTCCTAACTCTCCTTGAACCCATAGAGTATCTGTAAAACAAATCTCTGTGAGCAGTGAGAAGGGAAATAGTAACTTATAATGGCCCCTAATATTTCCCATAATTCTTCTCTCTGTTACCCACAAAGAATGCACCCATCCCACCCATAGTCCCTCTCTATGCAACCATTAAAAAATTTCTGTCAGTAGTGAGGACAAATCTTAACCAAACCCAATCTTTCCAATGATCCATCTTCTTGATACTCGCAATGAATTCTCACCACTGTTGTCCAGGTATGAACCCTGGCTCAAACTGGATCATATGTGAGTTGAGTTTGTTTGTTCTCTCCCTTGCTGCAAGGGTTTTTCCAGGTTCTCCGGTTTCCTCCCTCTGTAAAAATCAACATGTGCGTTGAGTGTCGTACTGTATGCTGTAAAAATGGAATGTGAATGTAAAATAGTGTGTGTGAAGGAAACCTCACGGAAGAGCCCCATATAGTGAGTGTTGTGGTTCAATGTAAAATATAAGTCTCAGCACTGTAATATCCACAGTCCCCATCCTTCCCATGATTGCTTTCTTTAATAAAAATAAAGAATGCAAGGAATGTCTTACTATGCTTTTTCTTCTGGTCTTTTGGATTTCTTCTTAAAGATGAAAATATAAATGGACCTGGAGCGGCATTTTCACTAACAGAGGTTTTCTTTCTCCCCACAGGTTTAAGATGAGCAGGCAAAGGATGGACTTTAAAGGATCTGAAAACAAAACAGATAAAAATAAATAGCTGATCAGCCCTAAAATAATGGCTTCATTGTAATTTCCAACAAAAATTTACCCCTGTCTGGTCAAAGGCCTCTTAGGCCGGCCCTCTTAATCTGTCACATTGAATTATCCCACAGACTAGTCACACAGACTGGTCACACAGACTGTTCACACAGACTGTTCACACAGACTGTTCACACAGACTGTTCACACAGACTGGTCACATTGACTGGTCACACGAACAAGTCACATTGACATTACACATTGACACATTTATGTCAATCTGAGATTTTTAAACACATTTATGAATTTTCTTGCTTTCTGATTTGTCTAATGTCTGGGGAAATAGGAGGACATTGTCAGCAAATCAAATTTGTTTTTCCAAACCCCCCCCCCCCTTGTTTTTGTAGTAAAATCATTAATTTTCTGTGGTAAGAAACCAATTTCCCCCAGTTTTCCGTGACATGTCCTCTTATTCAATACTTTTTCATCATCTAACTGTCAAACTATGCTGTGGACTCCCTGAGTCCACAACATTTTGACGGCTAGATGAGAAAATCGTGTTAAATAAGAGGACATGCGGTGGAAAAATGGAGGAAATGCAACTTGTCAATTGTTGCCATTTTTTCAACATTTTCCCACTTTGTATAGGGTTCCTGTGGTATCTGCAAAAGGTATCCTGTATCAATCAAAATAGCAAACCCCCCTCCCCTCCCCTGGATCCCCTCATGGCTCTATATAACTGGCCAAACTCACCTAACCAGTGGCATCTTTGACAATGCCACAGAAGGGAAAAATTCAGCTGACAGCTTATCATTGTTGACTGGTGATTTAGATGAAGTAGATCCAGCACACTGCTTTGCTAAGGCCTCTAATCCACCTGCCAAATCAGTCATCTCATTATCAGTAAGGTGATCATGCATCGTGTGAAGAAGAAACGACATGTGTCTGTGCAGAGAGAAAGAGAGAATTAAGTAGTGGCAATGGAGTATACTGAGTTAGATACAAGGTGAAGTACTGCGATACTGTGGCCATCTTGGATTACAAGGGGTTTTGGGGTGTCTAAGGGCAAATAAAGCTTTGTTACAGTAATGACCTCAATTTATATAAACATCTCACCACAAGAGAATACAACAAAAGATGAATTAAGATGGCCCCTTGATCAGCTTTGCCCATAAAAGTGATACAAACACACAAAACTCTACATATTTTCCATCATCTTTGTTTTGCTTTGCCCTTGGCAAGATGGCTGCCGTATCATCTAAGTAGTCCATCGAAACAATCAACCTTATTGAACCCACAAACAACCTCTGTACTAATCTGAGTCAGGGTAGTGATGATGATGATGATGATGATGATGATGATGGGATAAACAGTGGATTCCACAGAGTGGCTCTTCTTCCACTGGATTCCAATTGGAATATAGAAGTTGATTTTAGTACAAGTTAGAGTAAATCAAACTAGAAATAAGGCAGGCAGACAGACAGACCTGACAGCAACAGCAGGATCACCTAGCCTGCGTGCTGTGAAGACAAGCTCATGAAGAAGTCTGATCTGCAAGGCAGGCCAACCATATGGATGTCCTGCGTCAAAAGAAAACAAATAAATATACACACTGCTTCGCAACATTGTATTCTTAAAAATAATGTTTTTATTTCAGTGCTAGAGGTGTTTCTATCCCTGTCGCAGTGGGAATCCACAGACTGTTTTACAGTGCGACTTCTCCAACCAAAGCCACCTCGACAAATTTTCTAAAAATTATTGAATAGTGTTTGAGTATTTAGACGATAGATGAGCGGCAAATTTTGAATTTAGATATTCTTCTGTTGTTCCGGTTGGTAAAACTAAATGATGAAGCAGAGCTTTGCAAATTAGTAATCTGTTTCACCAAAGACAGAGAAAAATAGTAATGTACGTCTTCAAATACAACAGGAAAGCAAATTAGAAACCGTATGAAACACAGTCTTTATGATTACAGTTTGTTTCTTCCAGACAAAGATATAATCTGGCTGACACTGTTAGATCTTATCACCATGTTGCTATGCGACAGCACGTTTATATTCAACAACAAAAGTGCCGGCAGTCTTCTCAGCCGTGTAAACCCATGGATATTTGTCCAATTTTTAGCAATTCTATTGTTCAGATTCCTACTTTTGATTGGCTAATTTGTAGAAAATTTGTCGAAGTGGCTTTGGTTGGAGTAGTCGCACTATAACACACAGCTCCTGAGTTGTCGGGAATACTTTTTTATGTCCATACTAACTATAAACAACTAAAGTATCTATACATTACAATGAATTTTATTATTATTTTTACCTCTTAAAAATTCATCTGGGTTCAGAACAATATTGTAGCCTTTGATTGCTTGTAACAATAGAGAATAGGACTAAAATAATAAATAATAATAAAAATTAGTGACATATAATACTTACTTACTTCATTAACATATTATAATACTTACTGCAGGCCAAGCTTGTGAAGGAAGGGATTGAGACACGCACTGCATGGCTGCAACCCTCGTGAAAAATGCTGCCTTTCGATGGAAGCCTAGTTCAGAATACAACTTAGCAGCAGAACTGTATCGCTGAATCTGGAATGAAAGAGGGTGACGAATTGCACTATATGTGTACAAAACATTTTAGAACTAAAACAGGCATTCAAAAGGTGTGAGAAGAAGGGGCCTAAGACTTGTGGATGCTCTTACATTACTTTCAAGCTTCAGTTCACTTCCTCTGTGCTATATTACTCTGTTATGTGCCGTACGATACATATATGCAATGATCAAGCACAAAAGATGGAGATGGTTTAAGCATGTCTTAAGGAAACATCGGAATAACATCACTAAAATTTGCGAAGCATTATGGTAGTGGGAGACAAATGATGCCATCATGCAAACATCCTATTAAAACTTGTGAAAACGATGTCAAAAGGAAACAAAAACTTATGGAAGTGTTTACAGAATGGATCGTAGCATACATGTAGCAATGAATATTTCATGGAAAAAGTGATCTTACTATTTGTTTTAAGCAGAAATATTCTGTAGTTTTTCTAAGACTTCTTTGCAATCCTGGCAATACAGATGTGGATGGTATCTCAATTGATTGATGTTTGAGAGAGCACAGTTTTGAACCAATCAGAGTGCACAAAGAGGTGACTAGCATATTATATGATAAATATGTTGATATGTTGATATGTATAAAATGCATGCTTGTACCTTTTCTTGGTCAGATATATTTGGTACATTCACTGAAACAGCATTCTGTAAAGTTATACTAGCTTCAACTATTTTCTGGAAGAAAAAAAAAAGAAATATGGCGTCAAAAATTTTTTTAACATTTTTTCCTAAAAACTTTGACAACAGTATATTTGAGCTGTCATGACCAAAACTATACCTTGTGAGAAAGAAGAATTCTTGCAAGCTTTAGTTGTGCTTCTACTTCAACTACCGATGCTCCATTAATCTGTCATTTTAAAAGAGGAAAACAGTTCACAATGATGGATGTATTCAGCATGAGCCATTTGTTCACAAACATTCAACAAACAAGGTAACAAGATGCATTCTGGTCTAGCTTGGGTACAAGCAAAGTTTGTACAGTGGAGAATATAAATTGCCAAGGAGTGGAAGAGATGATACTGCATTTACATTATGCAATGTTACAAATAAAATTGCCCCATAGTCTATTTCCAAATACTAAATACCAATTTTTCTGTCGGTTAATTAGCCATGCCATGACTTTGATCACCCTATAGAGCCTTTGCACCATCACGTGATGGCAGCCATGACAGGAGGCACGAATAATTGGATCTGGTCTAATCTGATTTACATGAGAAAGAATTCAATTTCCCAGGGGAGAACGACTCTATTGTTGTGCCTCCTGTCATGGCTACCATCACGTGATGGTGCAGAGGCTCTATAGATTGCTTCAGGGTTCATTGTGTAAGTTAGCTGTGTTGACTTTGAGTTAGCTGTGTCCAAACTTAGACCAGTCCAGAGGTTGTTTCAGGGTTATTTTGGTTTCAGATTGATACTCCTCTCTAGTTCCAGGCATTTGGGTTTTTGTCTTCAACAAAAAAAACCTTTTCGGTGCAATTTGAGAACAATGTCTGAACTTTTTCGTGACCGTAACACAATCTAAAACAACTTATACCCTGCGACGGCTAGCGCCGAAAAGGTGAATTACACCTTCTCAAACTGCCGATGTCTGTAGATATATTTTATCAGCAATTATAAATTAAAATTATTGAAATACTCACACGTCCATACAAGAATACTGCTTCGGATAGCCTATCATAAATTTCTTCATACTGCAATGGTGTGACATTTTTAAACTTTGTATCATCAAAATCATTACCAAATCCATTAGTAATATCATTAGCAGTCTTCCCAGCACAATCCGTAGGTAAAATTAAAAACTTTGATGTTCTATTGACACCAGAACTGTTCACTGCTACAGACGAGGCACACTGTCCTTCAAGTGCTCCAGCAAGCCATAAAAAGTCATTAACTGTCCGTAAGTATTCGGTCGCCATAGAATATTGGCATAAAGCATCTTGATGAAGGCCTGTTAGCATGCTTAAATCCCCTAGGTATTTACGGCTCCTACCAACACATTTTTTTTTATAACTTCTACGAGAAAAAAGGTAGAATTAGTAACTCTCATTTTATGATGAAGGAGGAAGTGTGCTGGTACCAAAATTTTTATTTTATTTAAAATGCTAAATTCCAACTTGAGCAGTCAGCTACCTTATTTGTGACTTAGATCATCACATCCGTTGTTGTTGAAGAGTTTATACAAGCAAACCAACCCAAATCAACCCTACAAGCCTCATTCCTTTCTATCTTTGACAGAAAAGACTCTTATTCAACTAATATTTATTATTCTTAAGAAAAATTCCCTTCCACCCTCTACCTCTCATAGCCTCATTCCTTCCTAACTTGGACCATAGTTAATAGAGGGGAATGGTTAGGAAACCTATTGTAATCAGGTGTTTGTTCGCTTGTGAGGTTGAACCGGTCTTGACCGTGCAATATGTTTGATTTATGCTCATCCAAAATTGCAAAATAAGTAAACATAAACTTTGTCTATGGGATTATTGTAAGGAATATTCAAATATCTCTTTAAAAATCTTTAAGTATTAATTTTTGAACTTGCTGCCAAAAGAAAGATTTTGGTCTGTTCACTCAGCCATTGCCAACAATGGTAAAACATTGGTAAAACAAAGGATTGTGCATGGTCATGCTTGAAAAAAGTGAACAATAACCTATAACAATAGAGTTTCCTAACCATTCCTGTCTATTGACTATGCTTGGACGATGCTTATAAAAAAATTTATTTGGTCCATTAATGCTTTTCAAACTAGACTCCTTACTTTTTGTATAGGAAATCACACGATCTGGAGTACGATTCGGAATTTATAGGTACGAGTGATGTTTTGAAAGTTTTCAAAATTGGACGAGCCTATAGGCAAGTTAAGTTTGAGAATTTTCAAAACATCATGAGTATCTATAAATTCCGAATCGTACAAGAAGATAGTGCGATTTTTTGTTTATAATACACTCAAAGACATTGAGCAACTTAATTGGGACTCTACAGAGTACAATTTGGGATTTAATAGTACTCCTCCTGTCCAATCAGAATCGAGAATATTATAATGATTCTAAAATAAATGTATAACATTTAGATAATGATGTTTTTTCTTACCTACTGTCCTCACCACCATTATAAGGGTCTGGCTCCACGGGAGCATAGATAATGGCTACCTTATCGGGCTTCTCTGCTAGTTTGCTTATCCGCTTAGATTCCAGCACATTAAACAAAGAAGCAACGAATTCTGCCATATTCCTCTCTATCTCCTCTTGACTGTTCTCTTCACTTATGATAATAAAATTCTTCCGTACTTTAGCTTCGTCATCGTTCTTACATCCCAAGACAAAACACCTCGAGTCCAGAAGAGTTGAATCAAATTGCGACTTCAAATCATTGATCTTCCCAACCAATTTATCTGTCTCTCTTGGGTCTGTGCACTTTGCCACACAAATAAGTCCTAAGACTCTTCTGTGTGAGTGAAAAGAGCTCCATTCTAAGAATTGTGGAGAGATTTGCTGAGCGTATTTCAACTGCAGTGTTCTTGTAGTGTTGGGTACCTGCGCGTGGCTGTACTGACATATTTCCTTGAAAGCATTGCCAAATGTCTTCTCTCCGATATATCCTACAGGCTTGACAAGAATAAGTATTGCCCTATGGTCATTCAGGCTCTGACCGAAGTCTATTTTGAGCATATTTATGGGTTAGAATTGGGTGAAAACTCGTCATTTTTATGCGGGTAAATCTCTTGAAGACCGGCGGCCATGTTTGGATGCGCGAACTACAATCACAGCATGATGCGCATAGACCCAGTACGAAGACCGCCTTTGACAGCCAGTCTCCTTCCTTTTCACATTTTCATTTTCATTTCATTTTATTATCATTTCGCATTTTTCACTTCCTTTTATGACATTTTTATTATTTTTCATCATTGTAATTAGGTCACCTTTACCCTTTCCGACCATGTCAAACACCACAGCATATTTTATCGCTGGCCAAAGTGGGATTTTTAGACCTCACATATTCGGTTGCTGTGAGATCCCAAAAAAACTAGTTTAGCTGTTATTTTGTGAAAATTACTATTTATTCATCAACCAGGAAATCCTGTTTTTATTTTTAAATGACCACAATAGTCGTCTATAACGCTTTCATCCCCCCCCCCAGTTTCATGCCTTGCGTGACCCCTACCGAAAGAGTCACGAAGGCTTCAGCTCATTCCATCCATGTGTGCGGTACAAATATAAAAGCTCACTATGCCTTCTTCTTTCCATCCTTTTAGCGTTGTTTTTCATATACTTGCCTCGCTTGTAGCTTTTACCGTTTTCTCGTCGGACTTTCAGATTGTCACTCCAGATCACCAGAGTTATGGCGGACGGTGGAAATATCTGACCAACATTAATACGGTAAGACTTTTACACTGATGAAAACATTAAACAATTAAATTTGTTTTCCTTTCCATGCCTTGGGAATATATTAACATCATAAGATAAAAATAGTTATTTTTTTCTTAGAAAAGTTTTCGTTGGTTGTCAAAAAACGCGCTCACCGACGTTCGATCAGTCGGTGGTCGTTCGGCGGCCCATCAAGTTTCGTTTTAGCGTGTTCTTGGTCTGGCAAAAAAGATATCCATAAAAAAATCCATGGATTTCTTTTCTACGACATATAAAACAAACAAACCATAACTAAGTATAAAACAAAAGACCTAGAAATCAAATTTATCCGGTCTAGTAGACTCAAGACAGTAGTCTTCATGACCGTGGGTTTCCTGTGTATTCTAATGCCCATACTCCTTTGGACTCTCCGATTCAAATCCCAATATGAGAAACTACGGCAGGTCTATTCATTTTGGCGGTACGGCGATTTTTACCTTCTTCCTGCTCGAGTATAACAAGACACCTACTCCATGGGATTGGGGACCGGGTGGAAAATGGAAATATTTTCAACTGTGGAATTTGGTAAAGTATTTTTTTTCACTTTGTGAACTTTTCGAATCGGACACCTTGTAGTGTAATCAGATTGTTTTTACCCGGTTACTTTCGGCGTTCGAAATTCATATTTCTTCTTACCTATTGCTTTTACCAAAGCTAGCCAACCTTCTTGAGTCTTTAGAGATCCTATCTTCGCAATATTGAAGCATATCTTTAGAAGATACGACGATCACAGATCAACAAAGATCATCGTATCTTATCTTCAAATTCATCCTACTTCCCGCCACACTTAGGCTTCTCTGGCCCAGTTCTCTCAGTTCTCCAAGATGGCGGAGGGTAATCATCGAGAGAGGGTGTTTCACTTCATTTTCGCTACATTTTTCTGTATTCTTCTCTATTATGACCTTAAACTCTTACCTCCTGGTGTCATTCTGTACGGAGGGCGTTGGAAATACTTAACTTTTATAAATTTGGTAAGAAATGTGTGGATTAGAATGAGAGGCATTTTGTTGAGAGTCTCGGTCTCGTGATCAACCGAAACGCCGGTCAAAATTATTGCATAATTTGTCTGTAAAAGCACTGAAATCACTTATTACTTGAATTATTTGATCAGTTTTCTAAATAACGACGAAAGAGTTTGTTTTTGACGACTTGTAACCTTTTAATAGAAGTCGATGGATCGTTGATAGCATCAAAAATTTTCATTTTAGCGATTCAAAAATTTATAACCTTTCAAACATATTTTTATATTGAAACTTTTTAAGACTTGTTCAAGAAAAAATGCTAGAATATCAGTTGAAATAGTTAACAGACTAAATGAAGATATATTCAAACGGTTTGGCTGTTTGACTTACTTGATAGGATCATGTGACCTAGCTAGTTCAAGTTTTATTGAAAATGTCAGCTTCAAAGAGATATAAAAACAACTATTTTTTTTATTTCCAGGTATTTCAAGTCACGTTTTTTGTTTTCGCATCATTTGGGGATATTGTTACATTTTTTAGAGGACAAGAAACAAACTGGATCATATCAATCAGGGATACCATGTTCGCTGCAATAGTCTTCCCATGTGGTGTTGTAAGTGTCTCAGAACACTTAGTTGTAGTTGGGAAGCACTTGTGGGGTGCACTGCTAATGCACTGCCTCTCATCCATGTGTTCTGAGTTCGAGTCCTGCCGATCTCAATGTCCTTTGTGATTGTAGTTGTTTGTTGGTTCTCTTCTGTGTTTCGTAGGTTTTTCTCCGGGTTCTCCGGTTTTTCTCCCTCCTCAAAAATCAACTACTAAATTCTAATTCGAGCATAGGAGAAGACAGCTTACCAAACAAACTCACTATTTTGGTATGAACTTGACTCATCCAATGCAGGTCACTTGCCACAAGCCTTGCATTGGTGAGAGGATAAAGCCTTAGCAGCACAGACCACCAATGCTACTCGTATACAATGGAAGTATAGGTCTTAAGAGAAGATAATTTACTAATAATATTAACACATCAGTATTATTTAGGATGTACATGTATTGTGTTCTCTGATTTCAGTTTGTCACAGCCACTTTCTGGGGAATCTACTTTGTAGACCGTGAATTGGTTTACCCAAAAATACTAGATGATATTATACCAACATGGATTAATCATGGTCTTGTAAGTATTGTAAATGATAGAAATGAGTCTTTTTCGTAGAATAGTGAATCAGCTTTTATTTTTTTGACCCAAGTCAAAACAAACTCATTACTGAGGCATTTGCAGTGGACTTCTTTGAAGATATGGTGGACATATTAAATTGCAAGATATTATGGGCTTTCATGGGACAAATAAAGCTTTGTTACAGTAATGACGTTGATTGATAATTAACGGGTTACCAAGAAAGAATACAACAAAAGATTAATTAAGACACCACATTGATCTCCTTTACCCATAAAAGAAAAACAAACACACCAAACTCTCCATCTTTTCCCCATCTTTGTTTTGTTTTGCTCCTCGCTGTATGGTCGAAGAAGTCCATTAGCCCTGACAGCACTCACAAACACTCATTACAGTATCATATGCTAGCTGACAAATCCAGATTTTACCAAGATTATTATCATCATCATTGCTATTATTATTATCATCATTATCATTATTATCATTATTATTATCATCATTATTATTATTATCGTTTCTTCATTCTGTTTCTCTAT